CTTGACACATGCAATAAATACCACTTTTAGCTTATAATTTATTTGACATATGTTTCATGTTTTAAAAATATAGGAAAAACTAAAGAAAAACTATTAAGCTTTTTTTTAATCTTTTTTCTAAGCATACTTCTCAAAAGTAATGTAGAGTTAATCAACTCTGTTCACTCCACAGAAAATAATACAACCCATAAATATCACCTGATTGAAGAGAGGAAGACCTGGCAGGAAGCTCAGAGTTACTGCAGAGAGAAACACACAGACCTGATCAGTGGAACGAAGCAGCTACAGGACGCAGAAAATATGATGAATATATCTGGATACATAAAGTATAGGAGAGAACCAATATACATTGGTCTGTTTAGTGACACCTGGAGATGGTCAGATGGAAGCACTATCTCTTTCGAACCCTGGTATCGACAGTTTTACTATCAACCTAACAGTGGTCAATGTGCCGTAACTGTGTTTTATTATGGAGGCATATGGAGGAATGAGAACTGTGCTGAAAGAAAACCCTTCATCTGTTATTCACATGGTGAGTGTTCAAAAAAAAACATTTAATCAAGACATTTAACCACATTAAATGTCTTAGTTAAATGTCTTTCAAGTGTAAACTTTACTATCAGGTCCATGTAGTTTAACTCATAAGAGTCATTTTTTGTTGCATCAGCTCTGATTGGAGACTTATAAAGAAATAGCATTGTTTTATTTCTTGTATTTTATGTATTTTCATGCCAGATAAATTGATCCTGATCAAAGAAAATAAAACCTGGCATGAGGCCTTAACCTACTGCAGAGGTCACCTCCATCATGACCTGGTCACCATCACCAACATGGATGAACAGAAACAGGTTCAGGAGAAAGTCAAGAACGCATCGACTCCTTTTGTCTGGATTGGACTGCGTTTCAACTGCAGTAGGAATGTTTGGTTCTGGGTCTGTGATAACTGGATCTGGAATGAACAAAATGACTGTAACATGTTTGGAGCCATGCAGGCAGGAGGAGAACATCGGTGGTTCCAAAGAAACGGCAGTGAGAGATTTAACTTCATCTGTACTAAATAATAATTCTTCTTTTTATTATCACCTTTTCTTTCCCACTTTGTGCTTCTTTTCAGTTGTGGGTTTAATAAAACTGACAAAACCATATTTGAATTTTGCCAAGGAGTGATCTGTTGAGCAGAATGCTAAATTAGATATTTGCTTAAAATAGAAAATAATTTTTTCTTGAAATGTTTTTTTTTCAAAACTGAATTGTTGAGATGTTCTACTTTTTATCTCGTCTCATATGAATATATGTTGTCTTTACAATATTTAATGACTGATAGCATCTACTCATCCTTGATAAAATTGTCTTGTGATTTAAAAACAATAAAATCATAATTGATTTGAAAACTTTTCCACATGTTGACAGACATTTTATTCTGTACAACTTAACAGAAAGATGTCGGGAAGCAGGAGATGGAACAGAAAGAGCCCAGTTATTTTGTCCACA